GTAAGGCCGAAGCACGCGAGGATTCGATGGAGTGAGGACGAAGACACCCATCACAACTGCACCGCGCTCGTAACTCGTCGTCATACTCGCAGCTTGGAGGGACGAAGCGGATGCAAGGAATGACGCAAATGCGGCTCGAGGCAGATCGTGGCGCGGGTATCCCACATAAACACGCTCTTGGCCATGGCTGAGATTCATACGTACATAGTGGTCGATCGGCAGCCGGGGGCGGCCTAGTGTTGGAAACGATCTTCGTGAGGGGCTTGCGGACAAGTTCGGGGCATTTGTATCCTCAAACACGATCAGAACGTCCCATATTTGATGCCGTGGTTGATTTGAGGATTGCGTATATACTGTGATCTTGTGTGTAGGTTCTGTCTGAAGTGCACTGGAGTTTGTTTTGTAGGAATTTCACGTTCGTTATGGCGGCTCACACGCTGCACAAATCTGGCCTTCACCAGTCTACTCTAGCACCAAGGCACCAGAGGCTGCCGGAGGCGTTTTCTATTCCTCTCGAGAGGCATTGACGTCCCCGGACTATCGCCCGCAGTGGCCTTCAACTGCTTCGAGTCCACTACGGTCCTTTCGGGATCATTGTTTGTCATTGGACTAGGAACAGGGGCCGCCATAGAGAGCGGGATGGCTCCGGCACCCCGAAATCAAGCCGTTGATCCACCGCTGCGGCTATCGGTGTTGCGTATAAATACCGGCCGGACCAGTGCAAATAGATGTACTGACTGTGATATCACCATCCCCTAGTCTTTCGTTGGGAAAGGGTTTCGGCGAAAACATAGGATTCCCTCGAAGTGGTGATTCTCCGGCGTTGAGTGCCGGGAAGCACAGGATCACCGTGCCATCCTCGAACGCCGCGATGATGCGCAACTTCGTATGGATAGCAAAGAGCTAGGTATATGGCTCGGGCGATGATATTGTACATATGGTGGCTGCAAAACATGACAATGTCTTCCCTTTGGTTGGAAGACCAGTCAAAATGGCAAATGTGCCACCGGGGATCGTGACGTCAGATGAGAGTCATTCCACACATTGCGAGCGGACATCGACATGACCTTGCGCATGCTGGCAATCAGTTGGTCGCCGGTTGGTTATTGGGGATTCCTTTCAGACAATCGAATCCCAATAACTACCATCGGCATTGGTATTCTCGAGCGCATCAGGGTTATCCTTTTCGTTCGCAAAGCCCAAAGTTCTATAGCTCACCTATACCTACGAAGAACAAGGATGCCTACTACACTGAATGGCAGCTGTGTCTGCAGCAAAGTACGATATGCCGCGAAGCTCGATTCCACGGAAGACGCGAGGACGTCACTATGCCACTGTTCAAGCTGCAAGAGGGCGTTCGGGACCAACTACGGTCTAACGACCAAGGTGCGTGACCAACCCGCCCTCTCCGCCGCTCGCTCGTCACAGTCGTCGTCATTGAGACGTTTGAAGAGCAAGAACGGCTGATGCTTCGACAGGTACCTCTCACAGGCTTCTCTTACACCGAAGGGGCGCCCAAGAAGTTCCGGCGGGAGAACGGCGTGGTCCGGGAATTCTGCGACAACTGCGGCGCCTTCCTGTGTGAATACGGCGAGCAGGCCGCCGACAAGTTCCGGTACATCATGTGGGGGACGTTTGACGAGCCGGACAAGGTGCCGCCCAAGGGCGAATTCTTTTGCTCGCAGCGCGAGGGGTGGATGCCGCAGATCGAGGGTGAGCAAAGGCCCAGATGTTGTTTTCATGGCGAGGTTATGCGTGACTAACAACGAAATCGCCGCAGGCGTGTTCCATAAGCAGCAGATCAAGGAGTGACTCGGGCTGGCGAGTTCGGAAACGCCTCGTTTATGATGCGGCGGGGTTCCGTCGTCACGGGGTAAGGGGGGGCATGGACCATACGTGCGGAAGTCCGAGGCGATACGACGACGCTATTAATGGCCAAAACCGGCGATGAAAGAATGCGAAGGCGGTGGAGAGCATATAACACAATGTAGCCAAGGAATAGCCCGGTCGATGGGTTTCCAGGGCCTTCGGGAATATATACTGAAGAACCTGAGAAAATGCAAAACGTACTACAACATCAAACCGACCCAGTCACTATTTCGAACTGATTTGCGTTGACGGCATGCAACACGAGCCGCAGGGAGTGATTTGACCAGTTCGATGGGTTGATGAATCCTTGGCGCTTACGACCAGAAACCAATCTTGGAACACGAATTCCGCTCTGGCACGCGCGCCGCACACTCAGCCCCGGCTCCAGACTGCAGTGCTTTAACCCTCTTGTTAGGTTTGCTGTCCTCTTTCGGCACGAATGACAGGGTGTTCCTCACGGTAGGGAGACAAGGGTTCATGCGAGCCGGGTGTTGATAAAAGACGTGCCCGCCAGCCAGGTTCGCGATCGACGGCCCTCCGAGCGTCATCCTGCGATACTTGAAAAAGCGTATTAGAAAGAAATCAGCAATCCGTAAGGATGGAGAGTCAGGCTAAGGAATCACTGCCGTTCAACCCCCGGCGGCAGCGCATGCGCACGATCTTCCTCGGCCTCGCCTTCGGCCTGGGGGTCTTCGTCGCCATCGTCCAGGTCCTCACCCTCGCCGCTGGCAAATGGGTCGTTCACGTCGGCAATGGCTCCGAACGTCTTGCCCTCTCCAGCCTGGCCGTCGTCCAGGTCAGTCGCCAAGCATGCTTTACAATGACTTCACCCGTGGCTGACATTCACAGTTTGACGGCATCATCCCCTCCCCCGAGTCCGACTCCTACCTCGTGACGATGAGCTACTTCGCTGCCTCCTTCGGCTACGAGTACCCCGCGGCCTCGAAGGCGGGGATTCTCGGCTCGGCGCCCCGTCTTCCCTCCGACCTCGCCGTCATCGGCCGGGACCTTTCGGTGCCCGCCGACGACTGGGGCTGCCTCCGGGGCCAGGGATCCTGCGCCTCGCCCTACTTTCAGGCCTTCCGCTACGGCTTCTTCATGATGCCCGCGACGCTGTCCCGCATCTCCCTCGCCTATGCCCTCGTCGTCCTCGCCTTCGTTCTGGTAGCCGAGGTCCTCATCGCCGTGCGCCCCAGCTGGCTGCGCTGCCAGTGCTACTTCTCCTTCTTCAAGCGCGTGTGCCCGTGCCCGCGCGGCTCGCGCGCCGAGATTGAGGCCCTCCCCGCCGTCTTCTGGGACCGGTACCGCCTGTGGACGTGGTGCTTGCTGCCGTGCGCCGCGTTCCTGCCGCCCTTCGTGCTGACGCTCAACGGGCTGCTCATCAAGAGCTTCCTGGGGCGACACAGCGCGGGGGATATGGACGTGCGGTTCGGCACGGGGTTCGCGGTGCTACAGGGGATATGCTTCGGCGCATCGTTCGCAGCGGTGATTTGCGTCTACCTGAGGAAACGTGTCGGACAGGGGACGAGCTGGATGGAGCAGCAGGGGGTGACGATGAAGTACTAACAGTATACATAAGTGCATAGAGAGCGAGAGTGTGCCGGATCGATGATTATGTCAAACCCCTGACCGGATGCACCCTTCTGGAGGGCCTTCCAGGTCCAGACCCGGAGCAAACCAATATACGTGAACTTGAGGCCACTAGATCGAAGATCCGGTCTGAGGTCAAATGGCGGGATTGTAGTGTAGACTGGAACCAAACCATCCAACAACTGCTCTAGCTCCAATCTGCCCAGCCCGAGTCTCCCACGCAGTCCCAGCTTGGAGCCTACCTAGCTCACTAGCCAATGTGTCTCACTAGCTTCAAGCAAACGCTTGGCGGGAGCACACAGAAGAAAGGGCTGAAATGACCCCATTGACGAATCATAGACTCATCATCGATGGCGGTCCCTGCCGATCACCCACAGAGCGGCCCCGAAACGCAGACGGTCGCACCGCATACTGATGTCATCGGCCACCCGAGCAGCTGTCATCGATTTGCGCCTCGCATCAGATGAGGTGTGCGCGCAGTAGACGAGCGCATTCTTCCAGCATGACTGATGATGCCATGTCCCCGTCAGAGCAGATGTTCGATTAAAACGAAGCTGGAGCGCGGGGCAAGGGTTCATCCCTTTTCCTCCATGCCTCATAACCCTATTCCTGCTCATCACGCCTCATACATTGCGAGAACGTGAACAGTCATACACAACCTACAGCTTCTCACCACCCGGATCCTCAAATCTCATCTCACAAATCGTCACTGACACCACTACATATTCAAACATGTCCCGTCAAAACCTTGCCGTGCCGCTCATGGGCGCCGCAGCCCTGGTCGGCGGCGGTGTCTACTACATGCGCCAGCCCTCCAACACCTCAGGCGACCCCGCGCAGCAGATCGCCAACACGGACAAGCGGCGCCCGACCTCGGACGAAACCACCTCGGACAAGGCGACGGAGAGCAGGAAACGCGCGGCCGACGCGAAGCGCGACAACGGCCTGGGCGGCGCCGGCGTGGGCTTCAACAACAACACCGGCGGCGCCGAGCTCAGCTCCGGCAACCAGAGCGGCACGAGCGCGGACGGCCGCGGCGCGCCCAAGGGCCCCAAGGAGAAGTTCCCCAACGACGCCGGCCAGGTCGGCGGCGGCTACGGGAGCGGCAACGCAAACACGCGGGCGGTCGAGACGCATGGCCCGTCGATGACCCCCGGGTCGTCCACGGCGACGGGGGCCGTCGGCGGAGGCAAGAGCAGTGGCGGCGGCGGTGGCGGTGGCGACGCGGCCAGCAGCTCGAACAGTTCCGGCATCGGGTCGAAGCTGCAGGGCTTCTTCGGCACGGGAGGCGGTCAGGGTGGCGAGAAGGTGCGCCAGGCGCCCGTGGACACGAAGATTGCGAGCAATCACGCCGACACGCCGACGAAGAAGGGGGGAAGTCCTTGGGATAAGCACAGGAGGGATGTCACGGCCGTCTCGGACACGGAGTCATGATCTCGCGCGGTGTCGTTGTACTATTAGCATCATGGGCATGGGTTGGAAGTTGGTCCTGGAAATGACCTGCATCAGAATTAACATCCATCTGTTTCTCTCTACGTCTCATCCTCGACCGCTATGATAACGGCATGTCCGCTTATCCCACCAGTGCGAACCAGATCATCGAGACCAGGTGATCCAGCCTTTGGGATATATTGGTTTCCAGGTTGATGCCGCGAGCCGTGGCTTGTTCTGCCAATATGGCGATGTCGTTTTAATGGTTTCCACCATTATCATTGCTACTACCATTTAAAAGATAGGTCTTAAGGTGACCATGCGGGGCACATTGCTAGTGTTTGGATGAACATTTGCAGACTCCATCCACAATTCGACACGGCAAAACATTCGTCTATTCCCCTGTCATCGCAGCATTGTATTAACGGTATCGTTGCGCCGTCATCCCCTTGGAGACCGACAATGTTTTAATCGTCAGAGAGCCTGCCACTTCTCGAATGACTTGAACGCTGTCAAACTCCAGCACCCTGCATCCCGCCATCCTTGCCTTTCCATGGGCACGCTGGGGCCGGCGTAGACGTGACGAGGATGAATCTCCGCCATCTTGGAAAGGTCCTCCAAGTTGAACGCACCATCGAAGATCGCGGCCCATAGGTCGTCAAACAAGATCGATCCGAGCACTCTGAGGGTGCCGTCGAACTCGTCGCCCGACGCCCCGGCGCCCCGTCCCCTCCGGCCACGTCGCCCGTTGCCCGTCTCCCTCGCGCTGGCCGGCTGGACGGCTAGGAGGAAACTGCCCAAGTCGCCACGAGGGATGACCGGCTCGGTGGTGCCTTGCACCGGCTCCAGGTACGAGTCGACGGACGCCTCATCGGCGGCCAAGAAAACCTGCCTGGCCGTGAGGAGGTCTTCGCATGCCGGCGACTTGCTGTACGTCTTGTAGTGCCTGCGCTCGTCAGTATTCTCGTGTCGGTTCTTCACCTTTACCGACGAGGGGGTTTGCGAAACCTACCGTCTGGCGGCCTCGATGTCGTCCTCCGGGATCCCGTGCTCTCGTCCGTCGATCCACATCAGCCTGCACGTCGGCTTCACGTCCGCCGCGCCGTCGACCCCTTGGCCCCATGCCATCACGTCGTCCTCGACCCGCCTCAGGAACTCCTTCCACTCCTCGTCCGAGTGCGCGTACGAGACCCGGTACCCGACGAAGCCCCAGACCCGCACCCGGGGCCGGATCGACATCCGCAACGTGTTCTTGAGGCTCGTGATCCACGGCTCGTCCCCCGTCTCTGGTGCCGGTCCCCGCAGCTCCCGCCTCGCCCGGGCCAGCTCCCTGAACATCAGCCGAGAACACCGCTCCGGGTCCTGCGTGTACGAGAACGGAATGCCGTTGCGCTGGCCGTCGATGATCATCCGGGTCCCCGCCGCCTTGTTCAGGAACTTCAACCGCATGCTGTACACCTGCACGCGGGTGAGCATGTCGTAAGGGTACTCGGTCATTGGCTCGGCGCCGCGGTAGCCGCCCCAGTCGTCCCGGAGCCTCGGCGCCGCGGAGGTCAGGGTCTTGAGGGTGTAGCGGAACAGCGGCAGCATGATCCTGGCGTCGGCCTCGGTCATGATTATGTTGAGTTCGTGGATCGAATCGATAATCTGCCCCGGGGAGGTCTGGCCGTTGGCGCCGCCTGTCGTGCTCCGCAGCTGTAGGAGGAGCGCTTCCAGCAGCTCGTCGACCCGCCCAATCACCCACGCGTGTGCCCTCGCCGCGATGGTCTCCAAGTAGTCGACCATGTACTCCTCCCAGGCCGCCGTGACCGAGACGGGACCCCGGCCCCTCTGTTGCCGGTACGCGCTGAGGGCCCTCGAGAACTTGTCGCACTCTTTCCAGGTCCCGTTGCACGCCTTTCGCATGCGCGACTGGGTGTGCGGGAGGTTGAGGTACTCGAACGCGTCGACGACGGTGCACAGGTGCTGGCAGGCCCGCTGCACGTTCGTCGGCTCGTGCAACCCTTTCATCCGCCACCTTGCCGGCGACATGGGCGGCAGGCCGTGTAGGAGCCGTGTCTTGATGTGGTGAAGATCCCTGTCGCACTCCGTGCTCGTGCTGGTTACGAGAGCCAGCAAATCAGTCATGCCCGAAACGGCGACCATGATGAGGTTCATAGCCGAGGCTGAGCGGATGGGGCAGTCGTTGAATGGCGGAGGGGCCCATTCGTTGTACGGCCTGGCGAAGAGATTGTCCTCGTCATACTCGAAGGGGCGTGGCTGTGTCGGTGGTTTGCCACTGAAGAGAGTGCGGTCGCCCATGAGCGAAAGGCCGAAGCCGATCATGAGGTTCACGGGCATGGCTTGCGCGTCGACTGATAAGATGAGATGAGAAGGCCGTTGCGGATGTGGGATCGAGCCAAGGGGACCGCGCTGGGTATCCACGCTCACTTACTGTTCATGACAAGCTGAGGATGCTTGTAATTCGGGCTGACAATGTCGACGCCCTGCGGAACGTTCATCGTCTCGGGGCTGTAGCGAGGCATGTTGCGGTTCTGTGTTTGGAGAAAGGGAACGAAAGCAGCTACTCTCGAGTCCGAGAATGAATGCAGGGGAAAGCCAACATTATGAATAACTTATATATCCGTCGGCCTCGAACGACACGAGCGTTGGACGTTCGGTTGAAGACGCCCATGGCCAGATATTTCTGCCTGCCGAGACCCTGTTAGCGTTGCCGACAGGAACCCTTGCATGTACGACACCCTGGTGGTGCTGTAGCCTGGAACGAGGGGGGCGGCCGCACGCAACGGGGCATCGCTGCCTGGATGGCACGAGAGATTGCAGGGAGAGATTCGATCGATGTGCCGGCACCGGTCCGGGGACGCGTTCGGGTGTGAGGATGGGGCATTTCTACTTCGGGGCAAGTAATCGGACAGAGGCGGGAACTCCGAGAACGAAGGGCTCATATAACATGAGCACAAGGTGTGTGAACGCTGGGCAGACGTCTTATTTCAAGCCTAATCATAGTGCGCAGTCACAGATGCCAGACTTTATATCCGTTGCCATCAGTGACATCTTTCAGATAACACGATTGCGATGCGCCAAGCTCGTCCTATCGACAGGGGTGCCCAAATCGCCTCCGATGGATGGATTGATTGCTTGGCATGAGAGGACTCCCGATACATTAGTAAGGTTAGCAGCCTCCATTTACGAAGAAGTGGTGAAGGTACGAAACCAAAATACCCAAAGTATCACACGTTCAGCGTGCCGAACGTTGCACCTTGGCTGGCGGCTTTGGCTAGAACGACAGCAGAATCCGCGATGGGGGCGATAGCTTCGATGAGACGACTCGGATCCAGGCTCGGCATGAAGGCGGCGACTACACAGCATAACACGAATGTGTGTGACACGGCTGAGGGTGGTACATGATTAGAATTATCCCTAAAGATGATTGCCTTTCTTGCTGCTCTTCGGAGCATGCCCTTCGCAAGCTAGCAGGATCCGACGGGTCTCCCGAGCTGCTTGCAATCTCAACCATTCCTCCCAGAACTCCGGCGCTGAATTATAAGACATGATATGTAGATCGACCGGCGACGCGGCGGCAGCCGAAGTCCGTGCCTGTCCATGGCCACCTCCAAAAAGTACAAAAAAAAAAAAAAGAGAGAGGGGGCCGTTCCTCTGCGGCCGACCTTGTTCAACGGAGAGGCCACCCCTCCTTCTCGCGGTACAGCGGCGGGCCCGGCATGTCGCCCTCCATCTCATAGACCTCGTTGTCGTCGGGCAGCTCCTGCGGCCGCTCCATGGTCTCCATCTCCAGCACGTTGGCCGAGTCGAGCTGCGTCGGCGCGGGCGAGTGCGGCGGCGCGTCCCCGACGACCGTCGTGGTCGGCGACATGGCGTCCAGCAGCGACGTCTTGCCGGACGGCGCCCCGTGCGGGAGCGCCAGCGTGTCCGACTTGGCGTCGCCGTCGTTGTGGTGGTCCTCTCGCGCGCCGGCCTCCTGCCTCCGCCGCCTCCGCCACCAGATCATGAAGCCGACGAGGGCCAGCAGCAGCGTCCCCATGACGGAGCCGACCGCGATCCCGACCATCGTTCCCACCGAGATCCCGCCGTCGCCACCGCCGCCGCTGCCGCCGCCCGAGGATGAACCGATGGCCGATCCCGCCGTCGTCGTCGTCGATCCGGTCGCCGTTGGTGCGCTCCCCGTTGCTGTTGCCGTTGTTGTTGCCGTCGCTAACGTGTCGCTGCCCGTCGTCGCGGGCGCCGTATCCGTCTCCCCCGGGACCGTGGGGTTCGTCTGGAGGATGGGCAGGTCCGACTCCTGCCACCGGACCTGGATCGCGTAAACAAGCGCGAGCTGGGACGTCAGCTTGTTGTTGCTGTCGTAAAATGTCGTCGTGGGGTTGGTCGATATGCACTTGCTGTACGCCGACGTGCCCGTGTAGCAGGTGTAGCCGGTCGGGCAGCATAGCCTCGGCGTCTCGCCGGCGATGACGGGCCCGCCGAGGCCGATGTCGCCGTTGGAGCTGGTGAAAGCCAGCGAGGTCGGGAACGCGCAGCCCTCGGTGTAGCCGGCCGGGCAGATGCCGGGGGAGTAGAAGCCCCAGCTGTAGTCGAAGAGCTGGTGCCACGACGGCGGCATGCACACGACGCTCGACAGCGGCGGCGTGAGGGTGTTGGTCCAGTATTTGGAGTTGCAGAAGTCGGGCGTCGTGAAGACGGTCGTCAGGGGCGCCGCCCCTCGCTGCGTCGTCATCGGGTTGGGGTCCGATGTCGTCGTCATCGCTGCGGTCGCCCGGTCGCCTGATGTGACGGCCTTGCTGATGTTCGACTTCTATACGTGCTTGCTCCCCCTTCCGGCGGGCGGCGAATATCTTGGCACGGGCAAAGTGGTGCGAAGTGGTTCGCTGACGAAGTGATACCGAAATGGGTCGATGGTATGTATGGTTTCCCCTCCCCTTCACTGGGAGTATTTAGAGCGTCGTGGTCCGTCAGGCAGCGTAGTCCCTCTATTCTTTCCACCCTACGGGTAACAGAATAAGATATGACTGTTGCCTCGTCGGTTCTCCTGGCTTCGTGGTTTTCCTTTCTTCCCAAAGAGTCCCTCGGGGTCGTTACGGGGTCTTGCCGATCTAGCCGTGATATGTTAAGTGGGCCAATTGGTGGAAATTGCGGTCCGGGGAAAAGGTCATGGAAACAGCGGTAGGTCTTCCAGGACATCAATGTCGGGCAAATTTCGATCGACCACGGACAGGATACAGAGGAGGCCGGGTTTGACAGATGACACGCCGTCGAAGTCAGACAAGACAGGAGGAGCACAGTCCAAGTGTCAAAAGAGATGTAGGAGGCCAGTCCAATCCAGGGCTCTGGGGATATGTACGGAAGGGTTTCCCAACTGTAAATCCGATGGCAAGGAACGCCGAGCATCTCGAACCAGGGGAGGGAGGGGACCCGGGGCACAGGCGGGTCACGACGACAACTCGTGCAATGGGTACGATAATCGACCCGGTCTTGGGAGGCCGTCAAGCCGTTCTCTGTTTCTCTGGCGCGTGTGTACATATTACGTAGTACATTGGGTCTCCGCAGTGTACCCACGAGTCGTAACGAGGCGCGGCCAGGGGAAGAAGATCCACAGCCGTCATACATGTCGCAATTATGCTCTGGATCCCCGGTCTTCTTCGTCTGAAGTCTTTTTACCATGGTACGGTTGCCGCCGCTAGCCCGAGTCGAGGACTCGAGGCGCCGCTAACCGGTGTCTGGTCCGGCGCTTGTTTCCTTGATGTGCTCTCAAGAATGGTCCTGATCGACAGATACGAGGGTCTCTCCCCGACTGGGAAGTGTTGTTGGTGGGCAGAGATAATTGCTACATATATACCGATAGTGTGCACACTACGTGTACGCCGAGTGGCGAATGAGCATGTTGGAGCAAACGACCGACTGACCCAATAACAGGATCGGCATGCCGGCTTCACCGCAAAGAGTTGAGAGCAACTGTCATCGGGCGCATTCGCCGTTATTGTACAGAGTACACTAGCCAATACGTGAGACCTAATGTAACGTTAAACGGACGCTAAGAGACGAGAGCACGAACACTCACGACACCAAGCATCTCCGGCAATCATTCCCGCCAGCACGCAGAATGGCCCCGCCGCCCCGGGCTGTTTGATGAATCTGTAACGACCTCAACTAACAAGTCACCATTGGACGTAGGTAATGAGACGTGCACCGTTTTGCTTAGCCATAGAGAGGGCCAAGACAACGTAACGAATGGTTTAGTGTCCTTTTCCAGGCTTGGTGACATTGCGTTCTGGCAGAGGGAAGATGCTCCCATACCGCATACTCGTCTCGTCCCGATGATGGAAGTATATGGAGGAGGGAAAAAAAAGGGGGGGAAGCCAATCCAATTGCACGAACGTGGATCATCAATTGTGCTGCACATTTGGCCTGCAGCCTCGATGGAAGAAATGCCCGCGCAGGTCCCAATGGGCTCTTCTCGCCCTTTTTTTTTTTTTTTTTCCTTTTTTTTTTCCTTTTTTTTTATCTTCTTCTTATTTTTGTGAGACCATCCGCCACCCACACTTTGCTGAGGCGCAGCGGCAATCCCTGAATGTTCCTAGGATCTTGGAGAAACCCTGGTAACCTTCTGCACAGCCCGCCATGCGTCTGTTCCGGCTCGACTAGGACCAACCCCCGAGACTGGATCTTGATGGGCAGCCCTTCGCGGATAAACCGGCGGGAACCCTGTTTGGGTCGCCTGTATCCGTACGTATTCGTAGGTAGTAGGTATGTTGTAGTCTCTATCTGTCCGTGTCGTTGGAATAGCATCGTCGGCGACTATTGCGCCGCTGCGTGTTGGGATAGAGTTTGGGTATTGGTCGTCGATGCACATGGCGACGCCACGATGGCAAAAATAAAAATAAACCTAGGAGTCGTCCTCTGAGCCCTGCCTATTGAAGGGGGCCAACAAGCAGACGCTATCTGCAGCATGGGTTTGATTGAAAACGATAGCCAACGTGGTGAGTAGGATGATGGATGGTAAAAGCATAAAACATGACGGCGAACGAGGAAAGACAAAGCCGTCAATCATCCATTGTCCATCCTTGGGATGGTGATCAAAAAGACTGCCTCGTGGCGGAATCGAACCGCCGATCTTCTCATGACACTAGAATACTAGTGAGACGCTATACCACTTAGCCAACAAGGCGCTGATGACTGGTCACTGTTTTGCGATCCAAGATGGTAAGTCATGCCTGTCGTGCTCCACCGCCATCGCCAGAGACATTCTCGCTTCAAACGCATCTCACTCAAATGTTGGAAAGTGCTAGAGTTCAAGGGCTACATTCCGAGGGGGTTTTTTTTTTTTCTTTTCTTTTTTTCTTGGTCTGAATACCCGCACGTACCTGGTGATGGTAGCAACGCAAAGCCAGCACGCTGTACATGTCAGCACGGCCCGGGACGAGGCGGCTTTTGTCCGGTATGGCTGGCTGTCGATCCGATGATTTGGACCTCAAAATGTGTTGCAAACTGTTTGGTTCAGGAACCTTAGCTTAGGCGGAAAGGTTAGATCTTGGCCGTGATGGATCAGAAGGCCTTTCGTATAATGTATGCCTGGCCGTCAATCCCAAGATGCTCATGATTAAGAGCCAACAACACCCTCGCCCACCCCCCCCGGATCTCTCGTCAGCAGAAGCTATCGAAAGCCAAGTTGTGACGAGACAGTCAGCTGAGGCTGACTGCTTGGACTCGTGTGCTGGTTATCGGCAAAGTGGCCCTGCATGCAACCCAAGGGCCCGGTACGTTGTGAAAGCCGAGATAAGCGGGAGGCGTCAGATGTGATGTAGATCGTCAGCTCTCAGAATAGTTCAAGAGGCTGATGGCCGGCCGAGCCTGGCCGGATCGTGAGAGTCGGACGGAATTGGGGGCCAAGGTGACTGGACCTCTCTGCATTTGTACGTTGGAGCTGACTGACTGAGGGCAGTGTCCACACTTGATGCTAGCAGCTGGGCTGGTTAGTGCACTCCGTGTCTTGCTTCCACCTCCACTGCCATGCAAGGGGTAAGCAGTAAGAGGCGGAAGAGGGTGATTGCAGGGGACATATTGCATTTGGTATTCTGCAGGACTACCCTCATTCTACACGTAAGAGCCATGCAGCTTGGCTACTGCTGACAGGCGCGTTGTCGAGTCTTGTTGGTGCAGTGTGAACAAACGCCTGGCCGGGAGATCCACCGCCAAACAAACAAAGGGACCTTGATGGCCAGGGGCGCGAATCCGTGCGTGGTGCATATCAACGAGGGGGAAATCAGCTGCGGGCGTTGACTTCGATTTAGGGACGATGGCAATTCGGGGAGGGCAACCAGTCGGAGACGAAGTCCATGTCAGCACCTTGATGGATCCGATCCCATTGGGACCACGTGCGTGTGTGTAGTTGTACCAATTCGGTATGGGGGTGCCGCAGGAGAAAAGGATGCTCATAAAGACCAGTCGGCGGCGCACTCTGCAGTTCCGGAGAGCGTTCTCGTGACATTTGCATTTCTCGCCGCGCGTCTGGTAGTTCTTTCCTGTCATCGCTGCTATGCTGTGATCAGAATTCAACATCGCAGTGCTTGGACAAAACGTTTTCCTGACCCTGTTCTGTCGCTCCAGGTTTTCGACCCTCAATATCCACCTCGCCTCCCCTCCCCACCTCTCTACCCCGCGAAATGGACGAAGACAAGTCGCCTCTGATGCGGATTCCCGCCGAAATCCGCATGATGATTTATGAGCTCGTCCTGGACGACGGGGGAGAAGGCAGACTCGCAGTCCGCAACAAGGCGATGCACCAGCTGCCCACTGGCAGCATCCTCAAGACGTATCGCCGCTCGCGGTATCGTATCATCGAGAGGTCCTTCCACCGCCAGTGCTTCGAGACGACGTACCACCTGGCGTCCAAGACGAGGATGCACCCCGCCGTCATGGCCGTCAACCGCCAGATCCACCGCGAGACGAGCCACATGCTGTACGGCCTCCACGGCTTCGACTTCGGCAGCGACGTCGAGGCCGTCGTCCCTTTCCTCCAGGACCTGACGCCCGAGTCGCGGGCCATGATCCGAGAGATAACGGTCCGCAAGGAAGGGCCGCTGTACAACTGCGAGAGCGACCGGCGGGACTGGGCCAATATGTGCAAGTACCTGCGGGGGCTCGACAAGATGGTGCCCAAGGTAAGGATCGTCGTGGAGGGGGGCGAGCCGGCGGCGGCGTGGGAGGGGCCCCAGCAGCTGGGGGTGTCGGACCTCCGCCTCCTCGCCCTCATCAAGCACGACAGCATGGAATGGATCGCCGAGCTGAAGCGGGTCGAGGGCATCCAGCAGCTCGAGATCATACCCCACATGCGCCGTCTCCGCCCGCCGGGCACGACTTCGACCATCTTGTTTGCGGCCTTCTCGGCTTCCATTAGCACGGCGCTGGTCGAGTTTCTACGGACAGACTGCGGGCTCCCGGTGACGGCTGCTTCATCGGCCTGAATAATTGGGGGAGGGGCGCCCGAGAACGCCTCGCAAGGGGGTGGTGGCATAGTTGAACACACTGTTTGTTGCATGGGGGTTTGGGTTGGCTAAAGCTGGCAACTGGCGAGTGCTTTGGCCATCTCGCGCAATCGGACAAAACGAGTTCAGTATATGTGGGGAGAGAGGATCAACTGGAAGTATGCAGGTAAGACGGAGAAGGGAACGGATTTGGTATACATATTGAGGAGTCGATTCCAGGCGAACATGAGCGAAGAACAGGAGTTTGTTGGTTTTCCAAATG